AACTCTTACAAAATGAAGGAGATGTCTATGGGGCCCGAAAGTTTTTTCACGTTTGATTTTCTTTTTTGGTATTTTTTTTGAAATCATCAGTCAATTATAGCATGGGACCCGGGTCGAGATCCCGCTCAAAAGCCGCTCAAGATATGAGCGGTTTGAGCGGTTTTTCAGCAAGATTTGAGCGGTTTGAGCGATTTGGGCGGTTTGGGCATTTTTTTTTGTAAAAACCGCTCAAACCGCTCAAATCTTGCTTAAAAAACTGCTCAAAAACCGCTCATTTCTTGCGGTGGTTTTTGAACGGTTTTTCAAGCAAGATTTGAGCAGTTTTTTGAGTAGAAGGCCTACACTGGTTACTAGATGTCATTCCACCAATGCCTTTTGCTTTCACTGAGTCTTCCCTTTGCGTGCTCTGCATAAAATTTGTTGAGCATCGACTTATAGCGAGTCGCTGAGAAACGGAGCAGAAAAGCTACCACTTCATAGCTATCATATGCACTTCTCAAATTTCCTTGAGAATACAGAATGCCAACAACATGATAACCCATTTTCTTTTTTTGCTATAACTTTAAATGTGTTGTTATTAGATTCAACAACACTTCGTCATTTTTTTTGCAGAAATTCCAATTTTACCGCCTGAATTACGTTTTTACTTGTTGGGAAATACGACTTATCTCCATAGAGTTTGATTTTTTTTTTGGTTTCTAGATTTTTTAAAAATAATTTGTCCTGAATTGTCAGATGGTTGTCTTAACATTGTATGAAACAACGTGATCATACTCCAAGAGCAACCTAGCTTGCTGTGCTTGATTATTAAACTGTAGGAGAACTAGCAAATAGCTTAGAACTATATCTGTTTCTGCTGTATTAATTCAAGTTATTTTTGTTAGTAAACGCAATTTGTTGTCCCGAGATGAATTTTATTGGTATCATCTAGTCATCAACGGTAAATTCAAATTCTGAATTTACAGTATCGATGAGCTTCATGAAGTGTCAAAATAAATTCGTTTTCACAGTCCTGAACTTTCTTTATTTTTGACAGGGTTTCGGCTCATTCAATAAGACAACCCGCTCTCAGTGTAAGTTGTAGCCTCGCACTTACTTAGATAAGTCACTAATGACCATCTCACTGAGTTTGTTTGTATAAACTAGATATCTCACCTTTATGATTACTTGCAATGCAAGTTAACCAAGAAAAACGTTTGTCCTTTGACGAATGAGTTCTCAAGTTTAGACTAATCGATTGAATTGATAGATTTCAGTTGATTTGGTCTTGTACTTACGCCAATGTTGTGCATCCCGCAGAGGGCAACAAGTTATGCAAAGGACAAGCAAATGAGATTTTGTCTTAAAATTGATCCGTATTTTCATTTTGTTTTTTTTCATCTAATGTTTTAATGTTATTACTGCTCCATAAACCTTAAAAGGCAGTCGGAACATTCAGGGCTTCGCCCTGATACGAGCAGTCTTGTCCGTCTTAGAAATCGCTCCAAATTGGTCCAAAGAAGCTTATTTGCCGTAATTGATTTGATACAAGGAGCAAAATCTATCCTTTTGTACTCTATAGGGCGTGTGGGGGATGATTTTCATAAAAAGTATTGAATTTCAGAAAAAAAAATTCATTTGTTTTTTTTTTCATTTAATTTTTCAATGTTATTACTGCTCAATAAACCTTAAAAGGCAGTCGGAACAATCAGGGCTTTGCCCTGATACGAGCATTATCGTTATACATATAGCATCAAACCTAAGGAAAATTTCGGTTAAGAAAAAAAACTACTTAGTATAATTCCAGCCTGATAATTCCAGAGTGATTAGATCGAATAAAACTGAGTATATTTTTATATTACCGCAAAATATTTTAGCCAGTACAAAAAACTTAGTCCGAGTGATCTGTATAACAAGATTGTTTGTTTCATCTATTTGAAGGATAGCAGAAGTCTCACCAAAGCTATTTCGACTGCCAGATTTCAGCCACAAAAATAACTCATCTTTACTGCTGGATTTGCTAGCACCGATGCCGTGTCTTTCTTGAACATCAGATGTTATGGCGCGTTAGGTTTTTTTATGTCTAAAAACGCAAATGTGGATTTAATTGCGACATAATCACTAAGCTGTGATGGTCTGCATGGCCCATAAGTCATTGGGTTAGGAACAAAAGCAGTTCCAACGTCTTTCAACAATCTCGGTTGTTTTCCTAGTGTTAGCACCCAAATTGTTGTGTATTTCAGATTTTTCCCGTCAGTTGTTTTCTACTTTTTTTTTTCTAGTTTTTGAGCTTTTCACTTTTTCGTTTTTCTTATTGCTTTCGTTGCTACTTGTTCTAGTCGTTTTTTGACTTTTCATCTGCCTTTGATTGCACACCGTTATATATTAAGTTTAAATTTTCTCGTTCAATAGCCCTTGACTGTCTAATTTTCGCACCTGTTTTCTGCATCTGCTGGTCTGTTGAAAGTGTGGGGGCCACTTGGGTTGGCTCTGGTATATTTTTCCCGATTTCTTTTTTCTACAACCTCGTCCTCCGACCAATTCTTGATCGTGCATAATTTCAGCAGGCAGTAGAGGTTATATCGATTTTTTCCAATCTAAAAATGCGTGTTTGACTTTTCCCAGCTTAGTATATTTGGCGAACTATTTGTCTTTAGGTTTGAAATTGGAGTCTTGGTTTTCGTCACCTGTGTATCTCAAAAATTGATGCGAAATAATTTTAGGAATTCAGCCTTATCCGATGCGTTTTTGAAGGAAGTGTTAGTTTTGACTATTCTCAAAAACCCATCTCTGTGTTTCAGTGCTTTTATCATTCTTTCTATTACACTAATTGATCTATGATTATCTACAGGTGCCAAACGTAGTTTGAAATTG